GAGGAACCTGGAGGTATTAATTCCAGCCCACTGAAGTATACTTGGCTGAAACAAAGGGTGACAGCTATCATGGCCAGTGCGCTGTTTTATATCCGGCAGTCTGGGCTCCTGTGGGAAATGATGGAACCAGGACAGCAACAGATGTCTGGCTTCAACTTCCTCCTCTTCAGATACTTGACCATGACTCTCCTCTAACATATTATCAATCATACTTTCCATTTGATTTACCATTTAATGTATTTTGCTGATTAAAGGGAAAAGAGAGCTAGCACAGTGTCAGGGTCTGAGTGTCGGTTTATGACCCTGAAGATCCATGTTCAAATCCCTGCTTGGGATCACTCTGGGAAAGGGGCATTCTCTCAGGCCCCTTTTACACTGCCATATAAAATCCAGATTCTGCCTTGAACTGGATTATATGGCAGTGTAGACTAATATAATCCAGTTCAAAGCAGGTAATGTGGATTGTCTAATAATCTGGATTATATGACCGTGTAGAAGGGTCTTTAGTCACAGAAAAGCAAAGGCAAACTCCCCTCTGAACAAATCTTACAACAGTATGAAACCCCTAGCTTACTTGTCAAAACACATCTCCCATTATGTCCCTCCTTGCAGTTTAAGATCATCCAGGGAAACCCTGCTCTCGCTCCCTCCAGCGTCACAAATACATCTGGTGGGGATGAGAGACAGAGCCTTCTCAGTTGTAACCCCCCACCTGTGGAACTCGCTTCCCAACGAGGTAAGATTGGCTTCATCCTCCTGTCTTTTAGGAAGAAATTGAAATCGTGGTTCTGGGACCAGGCTTTTGGACAGCAGGCATAATCATAGAATCATAGAATCATAGAGTTGAAAGAGACCTCCTGGGCCATTCAGTCCAACCCTCTACCAAGAAGTAGGAATATTGCATTCAAAGCACCCCTGACAGATGGCCATCCAGCCTCTGTTTAAAAGCTTCCAAAGAAGGAGCCTCCACCACACTCCGGGGAAGAGAGTTCCACTGCTGAACGGCTCTCACAGTCAGGAAGTTCTTCCTAATGTTCAGATGGAATCTCCTAAATAGCGCTTTGGATATGGAATTTGACTGGTATGGTGATACAGCGGTTAATACTGTTTTTATTGTTTTAATTAATGTTCTATTTATTGTTTTAATTGTTGTTATATTGCTTTTTTATATTTAATGGCATCAAATTGTGCCAAATGTAAGCCGTCCTGAGTCCCCCTTTGGGGGTTGAGAAGGACAGGGTAGAAATGCTGGAAATAATAAATTAATAAATAATAGGTTAGTCTTACAGTAGTCATAAATCAAGTTACTTGAAAGCACACAGTTGGTGAAAGAGATAGCAGCAGTTCCCAAATAAAAAGTGTTAAGTATTTGATATATATTCTATACTGACATTCAATAAAAATAATTATTTTAAAAACAGTTCTGGGCATGGTCTATACAATTAACATAAAATTATACATAAAAATATAATAGAAAGTAAAACCAGGGATGAACTCCAACAGGGCCACTAAAACAACAGCATGGTTTAAGGCTATGTGGTGCAAATGTGTTAAGCTTAGAAAAGTCTACTGGGGAACAGTAACATCTGGCATTCTGGGGCGGGCACTTCAATGTGCAGGACATCCCAACAAATAAACCCCGAGGTGTTGTCACCACCCATTGGATTTAAATGGGAAGGGAGACTCAAAGGACTCAGGTAAAGCAGCATAAGGTTTAGGCAGTTCTTGAGGTCCCAAACTATTCAGGGCCTTGAAGAAATATATTGAGTTATATCAATTCCTCTAGCTGCTGTCATTTTACAGCAACCTAGGCTGATGATAAATGTTCAACACATGCACAAATGCTGCAATCCATGCACAAAATGTGTTTTACTCTCTCTAAGGCATGGGTGCTTGTGGCCAGGCTTCTCTTAGCCCATAAAGGGCCACAGTCAGGACCACAGCCACAGTGAGAAGGAGGTGCCATGACAGAGGGGGCCCTCGGTCTCTAAACTGTGCTCCTCCAGATGGCCTATGGATGAGAGGCGCACCCATCAGAGCTTTCACTGCCCCTAACTCAATGCTATGGGCAGTTCAGTCATGGGCAAACGTTGGCCTTCCAAGTGTTTTGAACTTCAGCTCCCACAATTCCTAACAGTTGGTAAGCTGGCTGGGATTTCTGGGAGCGGAAGTCCAAAACACCTGGAGGAGCACAGTTTGAGAAACACTGCTCTAGACCAATCAGAACACTCAGACGGCAGGTCCTGTCCTTTAGGGTAGTGGCTAAGCAAAGGCTGCACTGTGGTTCCCCAACTCACAGATTACCCAAGACTAAGCACTTTTCTTGTAAAAAAAGGGGGGGAGGGGTGATTTACACCTTATGACAGGCATCGTCAAACTGCAGCCCTCCAGCTGTTTGGGCTGCCAACTTCCAGAAGCCCTAACAAGCTTGTTCAATGGTCAGGAATTCTGGGAGTTGAGGGCCCAAACAGCTGGAGGGCTGCAGTTTGAGGATGCCTGCCTTATGACACACACCTCTGCTCTGCTTCACAAGTTTTTCAGAAACAGAGTTTGGGTCGTTTTGGTGGGGAAGGAGGGATCCTACCTTCTTTGGACATTTTTTGGCAGTCAAATGATCTCACAGGGGATCTCAAGGGCAGCAAGATAGTCATGGACCCACCAAAGCTGCCTACCTATGCTTTAGGAAAGGGCAAATCCACACAGTAATATGAATGCCATCTGCCCATTCAGGGAAAACACCAGTGGGAACTCTATTTTGTCGGAACTTGCTTTCACGTAATTGGCCCTAATCTAGTCCATTGCTGATTGAAACACCAATTTTAACACCCCCAAAGGGGAGCTTGTGGATACGAAAAAAAAATTGCCACCATTCTACCACTGACACTTGAACTCATGCATTGGCAAACATCAGTCCTGCAGGTGTTTTGGACTTCAACTCCCACAATTCCTAACAGCCAGTAGGAAGGCACTAAGGGCCTTTTCACAAATCCCTATAACGTGAACATCAAGGCAGAACATCCCACAATATCTGCTTAGAACTGGGTTATCTGAGGGCCCTCCCATACAGCCCTATATCCCAGAATATCAAGACAGAACATCCCACAATACCTGCTTTGAACCGGGTTATCTGAGTCTACAATGCCATATAATCCAGTTCAAAGTACATAATGTGGGATTGCATTAAGCTGTGTGGAAGGAGCTCATAAAACACTAAGTAAATGGTTCTCAACCTGTGGGCCCCCAGGTGTTTTGACATACAACTCCCAGAAATCCCAGCCAGTTTAACAGCTGTTAGGACTTCTGGGAGTTGGTCAAAACATCTGGGGACCCACAAGTTGAGAACCACTGCAGCAAGGGCCTTTTCACAAAGCCCTATAACCTGAACATCAAGGCAGAACATCCCACAATATCTACTTTGAACTGGGTTATCTAAGGGTCCTTCCATACAGCCCTATATCCCAGAATATCAAGGCAGAACATCCCACAATACGTACTTTGAACTGGGCTATCTGAGTCTACACTGCCATATAATCCAGTTCAAAGTACATAATGTGGAATTATATTAAGCTGTGTGGAAGGGGCCCATAAAACACTAAGTCAGTTTACCAGCTGTTAGGATTTCTGAGAGTTGAAGGTCAAAACATCTGGGGACCCACAGGTTGAGAAC